CGGGGCGGTAATGTCAGGGGTATAATAGTGGGAACTTTTGGCGGTGGCGGCACCGGTAGGGGCGGTGTTTTACGGAACTTAGGCACCGGTACGGGCGTAGGCGGCGCAGTCTGACGCTGACCCTCCACTTGCAAGTCGTCCATAATTACGGAGGGCATGGATGCGGACATGGATGTGGACGCCATCGCCTACTATATACACCCTTAGTATCGTTTCTTATAAAACGGAATATTCCGTCGCAAAGTGTTTGTCACTTAAACTTAAACTTTCACAAAGTATTCATTAATTAGTTTTCACACTGAAAGCGATAACTTTATGTGTATTTCCAAACACAGAATATGTGTATATAATGAGTATTAAAGCTTATGACAGAATATTCTGTATACGTATCACTAGTTCTTCACGTTTGTCACATATGTGGCAATGTATTGGTCAGAGACACGAATTGGCAGACAATGAGATATATGGTACGCCAGCCCCTGTGCTCAACCATTTACATAAACACCAAGCGCTGGAATATTACACATATCTATATATAAACCTATTATACAATTATTATTTTTATAATAATCATAATAATAACATATGGCGGGGGAACTGGCGATATGACTGGTGCCACACAAATCATAGCCACCGATGCCACTATGGGTTTATGTACGCTATGGGTAGGCCTACTCCGGAGTAAACCATTTATTCTGTGTGTTATTCTTATAGACGTGTTGTGTATATAATATAAACAATTGATAGCACATTGCCATTAGACTCGTAATTGCATTTTAAATCTCTATTTTTAATATGCATTTAAAAGCCCTTTGCGTACAAATCCCCTAAACATGCCATTCCCTCCCTATCCCCCCACCGCAACAATATGGTCTCAATCGTCAGGGAATGCGAGGGGAAGTCCATACGAAAATACATGTCACAAAAATATAGTAATATATTCATTCATTTGTAATCAATTATAGAATAATTATAAGTTTTTTATACAATTTTTAAGATAATATAATTATATTTATGTAGTTGCAACACCTCTCATTAAATTTGTGATCAGGGTAACTGTTTGTGGTATTGGTTTGTGAAAGTATTGAGAGATTAGAGCGAGTTTTAAGTACACATTCAATACTAATGCCGTGGGATGGGGATGGGGGTGAAGGGGAATGGGATGATGTCTATAATCAATAAGGCATTAAAAGTCATGTTATTTGAAAGACTTTTTTTTGCTGACAGAAAAGCGCAGACATCTCTCTCTCTCTCTCTCTCTCTCTCTCTCTCTCTATGATTGGCTCTAGAGCGTGACCAGGCACATTCTCGCCATTAGAATTAACGTTCAATTGTTCCATAATCTTACGGATTATAATGAATATAATTTTGATAACACTTTTTGTTTTCGACGCACAGATTCGCACAAATGATTACATTATTTATACCATTATTTTGGCATTTAATTGAAATATAAAGCGCACATTAATTTTAATTATAATATTAATAGCGTTTTAAATATAATGGTAACGCGAGAGATATTATCGCGGGATAAGTGTTGTGTGTATTGTTTACTCACTTATTATAAGTTTATTATATAAAGGGTTTCGAGTGTTTAGTGTTCACAGAATACATGGAATATTCTTTTCGCACAACTCTTACGATAAGAGAAGTGAATCTAATGTAAAGTTTTGCTGAAATCATAATAAACTTAATTATAATTAGCGACTGAGTTCTCCACTCATTTTAAAGCTTCACTTTGAATGCGAAACTCAAGTGTAATATAGTTTTTGAGTACTTTTTTTGTGTTTTCGTATCAGTTTTTGTTGTAAATATCTATATATAAATATATACCTTATGTTATGTAATGAAATAGTAATTTCTGTGTGTTTGGTATACACATACTTACAGTTTAGTCTGGGTATAATGGATGTGTCTAATAAAATAATTTTACAAACAATTTCGTACGATAAGTGTTTATATTATATTCAATTATATTGATTATAAACTAATCTAATTTATTGCAAATTTTTGTTTATTATGTTTTGGTATAAATAATGTTATTATTATTATAGGGAATGTATTTGATTTGAAAAGTTGGCATAAGTTTCACACAACAAATTCTTTGCATAATAGCATCTATTATTCAGTTTTTGAATGTATGGAGGGGTAGGGAGGGTAGGGATGGCATCTTATTAATGGGCAGATAGTGTGTGTGTGTGTGTGAGAGAGAGAGAGAGAGAGAGAGAGTTTGTGTGACATTTTAACGGTATTTTATCACATGAAATAAAAACCATTGACAAATATAATACTGTATATTGATATTGATCAAGTTAATTTTAATTTATTAAAATAAACTTTTAGTTTAGTAAAAATTATACTGTACATTGCATTTAATTGGAATTTATTTAAGTACAGAATTTTACGACACTTTTTGCAAATTGACCCCAATTTCAAACACAATCCCATAAAACACAAAACTATTCACCGGTTTTTGTGCCCGAAATGCCTCTGAAAATACTTTACTCTTTAATTACATAAACAACAAGAAATAAATCGCAAATATTTTTAAGACTATTTCTATTTATAGAGCCATTGAGTCCAATACAACACACATTTTTGTGTGTTTCCTAACGATTCTGTGAAACACAAGAAATTTGTTTTTTTCGACAAGAATTCTGTCTTTAAATTCCATATAAAAATTGACATTAATTCCGATAATATGTACGAAATTTTAATATAGTTTTTAAGCTCTAGTTACTGTATTTTTATTAAAATTCCACGAATAGTGAACATTCTGTCAATAGTGTGCTTATTAATTATATTTCAACTTATATTGCTAATTATAATATATTATATGTCTACTTATTAATTGTATTTAAGTAGCACATTAATTAGGTTAAGATTTGATTTAACGTTTAAATAACTTTATTATTTATGAACTATGTGATATATTAATTTTTGTTACTCATAATGATATTATATAAAATGTATCATATTCATTATACAGTCATTAAAACTAGCTAACTATTAAAAAGTATGAATAAAAGGTAGAAAGTATACCTTTCTATAAAATAGTTTTAAAAAATTGTAGAAATATAAAATATTTAATATGTTATTTAGTATAATATTAATTCTATTTATAGAAAAATAATTGTGTTTTTAAAGTAATATTAATTATTAAATGCAATACAAGTATACAAATTTACGAAAATCATTTACTTTTCACTTAAATAATTTTAAGTTAACTACTAGTCATATAACGATATTAAATACAGTATCAATTTTACCATTAACTTTACAAAAATTATAAATTAATTATATGTTAAACACATTGAATACTAAGTTATTTGATAAAATAATTAAACTGTTAATTTTATACTCTTAAAAATATTTTGTTTGTAAAAAAGTCAAAATTGTAAAGTAAGCATAAAACAATCATGACAAATACTTTGTTAATTAACATTTCAGTACAGTATTTAGTGAATAGAGTAATGACTTTCTTATAAAATAAACTGATGGCTANACATATAATATATTATAATTAGCAATATAAGTTGAAATATAATTAATAAGCACACTATTGACAGAATGTTCACTATTCGTGGAATTTTAATAAAAATACAGTAACTAGAGCTTAAAAACTATATTAAAATTTCGTACATATTATCGGAATTAATGTCAATTTTTATACGGAATTTAAAGACAGAATTCTTGTCGAAAAAAACAAATTTCTTGTGTTTCACAGAATCGTTAGGAAACACACGAAAAATGTGTGTTGTATTGGACTCAATGGCTCTATAAATAGAAATAGTCTTAAAAATATTTGCGATTTATTTCTTGTTGTTTATGTAATTAAAGAGTAAAGTATTTTCAGAGGCATTTCGGGCACAAAAACCGGTGAATAGTTTTGTGTTTTATGGGATTGTGTTTGAAATTGGGGTCAATTTGAAAAAAATGCCGTAAAATTCTGTACTTAAATAAATTCCAATTAAATGCAATGTACAGTATAATTTTTACTAAACTAAAAGTTTATTTTAATAAATTAAAATTAACTTGATCAATATCAATATACAGTATTATATTTGTCAATGGTTTTTATTTCATGTGATAAAATACCGTTAAAATGTCACACAAACTCTCTCTCTCTCTCTCTCTCTCACACACACACACACACAATATCTGCCCATTAATAAGATGCCATCCCTACCCTCCCTACCCCTCCATACATTCAAAAACTGAATAATAGATGCTATTATGCAAAGAATTTGTTGTGTAAAACTTATGCCAACTTTTCAAATCAAATATATTCCCTATAATAATAATAACATTATTTATACCAAAACATAATAAACAAAAATTTGCAATAAATTAGATTAGTTTATAATCAATATAATTGAATATAATATAAACACTTATCGTACGAAATTGTTTGTAAAATTATTTTATTAGACACATCCATTATACCCAGACTAAACTGTAAGTATGTGCATATCAAACACACAGAAATTACTATTTCATTACATAACATAAGGTATATATTTATATATAGATATTTACAACAAAAACTGATACGAAAACACAACAAAAAGTACTCAAAAACTATATTACACTCGAGTGTCGCATTCAAAGTGGAGTTTTAAAATGAGTGGAGAACTCAGTCGCTAATTATAATTAAGTTTATTATGATTTCAGCAAAACTTTACATTAGATTATCGTAAGAGTTGTGCGAAAAGAATATTCCGTGTATTCTGTGAACACTAAACACTCGAAACCCTTTATATAATAAACTTATAATAAGTGAGTAAACAATACACACAACACTTATCCCGCGATAATATCTCTCGCGTTATCATTATATTTAAAACGCTATTAATATTATAATTAAAATTAATGTGCGCTTTATATTTGAGACTCAATTAAATGCCAAAATAATGGTATAAATAATGTAATCATTTGTGTGAATCTGTGCGTCGAAAACAAAAAGTGTTATCAAAATTATATTCATTATAATCCGTAAGATTATGGAACAATTGAACGTTAATTCTAATGGCGAGAATGTGCCTGGTCACGCTCTAGAGCCAATCATTATGCCCCCATCCCCTCCCACCCCCACCGGCAGTGGTATCTTAAGGCCAATGACACCGTGTGATCGGTCCGACGTGTACGCCATGAGACCCAATATTACACTAATGGCCTCACAAAAGAACCCTGGTTGGAATACTAGTCAACACCCGCCCACCCCCACCGGTCTCTATATAAATCTCATTGTATTTTGTATTATATTTTCTATGAATTCATTAATAATGAAGTTTTTAAAAAAAGATTTATTAAGTATTATATTATGACAAGAATTACTTAATTTTAATCATAGTCAGTATTATAGGTAGTATTATAAATAAAATAATGTTGTAACTGGTAATATTAATAATTTTATAAATTAATTAGTACTAGATACTAATAATCTTCATTATAATGAATTTAATTGTCTAACATAATGTGAAATGTATATTATATTTATTGATAATGATAAGATATTTATTGATTTATGCACACAATTAAAAGGTGGTGAGCGTAGAAAGTTGACCAGGGGTAAAAGTATAAAATTGGATTACATGGATCAATTGGATCACATTGACACTGGGTCTGTGGATGAACTATGGGGTATTTGTTTATAAATGAGTTTTTATTGCTGTGGAGAATGTAATTGATTATTTTAAAATCCATGTGTCAAGAACCTTTGAATTTTTATACTCGGAATATTCCTTGCTACTAGTAATTTTAATTATAATGTGGATTTGAATTTGAATTAAAATATGTTTTATATTCAATAATATTAATATATCATATTTTTCCATAACTTGAATAATAAATAATCCATTTTGTGTTAACAGTAGTTACAAAATATTACTAAATATACATACATTACTTGTATACTAATGTATTATTTATTAAACACTAAAAAGATTTGAAAATCATTTTATAAAAAAATATATGATTGACAGCAAAATGTTTACATAAATTTAATGTATTTATAATTTACGAGTGTTTTGAATGCACTTTTTGAATCCAATCACTACATTATAGGGACTAACGGTAACCGTAATTTTGAGTCGATTTTAATTTTATTATTTTGTATAATAGGAAAAAATCTATTTTTAGATATAAGCTCATCGAGTGTTAGAGCACCGGGAGGAAGTGCATTGTGTGACAAAAATATGTTGAAATGTGCTAATATGGTTAGTAAGTGGGTTACATTTTATGCCACATAAACCTATTGCCATAAAATATACACTACATTAATATACTGTACGGTCAATGATGTAAATCAATATAATTGTAGTACACTATTGGACGGGTAGTTAAGTTTCACGATAAGTTATGTTATTTATAGAATTGACTACAGTATTGAAAGCCATGTATAAATATATCAGAAGTTTATTTATTTTGCGGTATAAATAGTATTTTACAATTTGATTTTAAAATTTTATTCTGCATATTGCATACAGAATTTGAGAAACTTTTTAAAAAGTTTTAATGGTCTGTCAAAAACATTCACAATTCTTAGTTAATATTTGTTTGCGAATATGTTTGAAGTGTTTCCTAAAATTTTTTGATTTTTAGAGAGAGAGAGAGAGAGAGAGAGAGAATGTGTTTGTGTAGCAAAAATGTTGTAGGAAGCAAAAAACAAATGATACTCTGTTTTTTAGTGGATATAAAGATTTTAAACATAGATTATTACACAACGAATTGTTTTAAAGTTTGAAACAATTTTGTTGAAAGTATTGCTGTGATAACAAAAAACATAAAAAATAGTTTAAAACGTTATTCATAAAAATTTTCTGTTAAGATTATTATCGTGTTATTATACAATATACAACATGATAGAAATTTGATGAACATTTTTATAATTACCAATTTAATTAACTTTTTATATTTAATAATAGAGAGTTTATTCATATAATTCAATCTAAATTTAGCTCGGTAGAATTAATTTAACTTTTATGTCATTTTTACAATATCCAAATTGATAATAAAGTTATCAAGAGCATATTAATTAAGATGCCAGACATGTAATCAGGAGGACCCGGGTTCAAGTCCCGGGCGCCCCCTTTTTAATCATTGTCTTTTCAATGATTTCTGATACTTCCCACCCATTTCCCTGATAATTACAATAAGTTATTGAAAAAAATCTCAAAATGAAGTTATGTATTAAAATGAATTAAATAGACGGGCAAACAATATAAATAATAAAATGTGTGCTTGTTTACTTCATGTCGATTTATTATCAAAATAGCAACATATTTTATATTAAACACAAAATAAACAATCTAAGTTATTACAAATCTATAAGACTTGCACTCATAAATTACAGTGTATGAATGGTTATAACTTTTATTTTACCATGCTTATATTCTTATATTAATTATAAAAAGATATTTATGAATAATTCTATACAATATATTTTGTGTGGTATATACAGTGATTTGAATATGTTATTAAATATTGTGAGTGAATTACAAAAGTTTTAATTCTGCGATAAGCCATTGCCAAAAAAAATTACACAAATCATTAAGGTTTACACCACAACCCCATTTATTGTATCAATGTTATTATTATTATGAATACAGCTTATTGTCTACAGTATATTATTGTAGTCGTGGTTACTAGTCTGTGCATAATAGTTATATTCAGACATATAGTATAATAACTCACTTATGATGCACTTTATATAAAACAAAGTGTTTGCAAATGATATTTATTTATATGTAAGTGGGTCTTTGTTGGTTATGTGCTCACAAAACCTACCTGTGCGCCTACGAGTATAAACATTATATTTTATATATATAGTTTTGTGTACACCATGTGCTTCAGACAAAGTTATTGTTTTTTTACTCAATTAGGTGCTCACGAATATTCTGTGCCATTGGTTTATTGATATATGATTTGTTAGTTTAGTACATCAAAAGGGAGTTGTATTATATTATATATGATATAAATTATTAAACGATAAGACAAATAAACTATAAGTTTATTGAGTGCACAGAATATTCTGTTAAAGGAGTTACAGTTTTATTATTGTATTATTCGCTGAGAATATTCTTTAGCTATATTAATATACAGTGATTAATAATTATCACTGATTATAAACACTATACAAAACTTATTTTTAAAACTAGTTACATAATATATAAAATATTTTAAGTTTTATTGTGGTTGTGCAAAAAAGTTTACACTAAATTTCCGTGCATTTATGGAGCATACAAATAACGGTCAGGCTAATTCGAATAAGCTATTTAGTTCGAGTGCGTCCACCTTGCACCCTGGTCATAGTTCTGTAACTACTAAACCACCCACCACACTTAATGTTCCCGCTTATGATGTTAGATGTATGTATAAATTTTAATTATATATATATATAAATTTTAATTGTAAATATTATTTTAACGCAAAATTTTTTAATGTAATAATTCGTTTGAATATTATATCTTGGCTACAATTTACAGTAATTTTAAAAATTGCAATATACAGGTATATTTTATTATCTATATACAAATAGTAAATAAAAATAGAGTTTAATAATATAATACTATAAATATTTAATGTTTCTATTTTTATAACTTAGAATGCAATCAATATTAGGTATAATTTATTTATAATAATAATATTTTTTAAAACCACTACATCACGGCTTTAGGCTATAAAATAAAATACAAAAAACTCAATCTCTGAGCCAAATTCGCATCCCATTCCCTCCCAAACCCCTTTGCATATCATATAAGCCGTAAATGAACAGCGAATGTGTTGTTCACTAAATCTTATCGACAGATCTCACTCTCTCTTTGAATGCAATTTCACGTCTAATATCTGTAATAAAAACTATTTTTAACACACATTTCAGCCGTAATTACGATCTCTTTTTGTTGTGTGTATTCAGTGCTTAACATATCGTTTCAGTTTTGAATCACATTTTTAAGAATCACTTCTTTTCGCAGTCTCTCTCTCTCTCTCTCTCTCTCTGTTTGTGTTATATTTATGTTAAAACGCGTGAATTGTGTACACAATTGCGTAAAAACCACACTATTTATAGAATAATATACAAAATAATTTACAATCAATTCTGTAGTTATTCTAAAGTGTAAACTGATATAAAACAGAATTACTATACATTTTACAGATTATTAATAAATTGTAATTAAATTTCATTTTAAAGGGTAGAGAGAGAGAGAGAGAGAGAGAGAGAGAGAGAATTTTCTAAATAAAATGACATTTTTGTTTAAAATACGTTTAAATAATAAACAATATATTAATATTTCTTTATAAGTTGTAAATTTAAAAAGACTATTATATATTGAATTCATTTAATTTATTAGATGGTTCAATTTTTATTACTGTATTATTCTCTAAATAAATAATATAATAATATTTTATATCCTTTAAAACTAAATTTAATTTTAGGTTTAAGAAAACTTACGGAATTTTCAAAATTCTTTAGCTAATAGACTATAATAACAAATGTTCTTGCCATTAAAATAAATACTTTTCACAGTCTATTTAAATTAATTTTGCAAACTTTCACAAAACGTATACGGTGTACAACATGCTGGGTCAATTTAAAAAACATTAAGCAATTAAATTTACACATTATTGTAGGAATTATAATCGTAAAGTATACAAAAATTGTTTAATTATAAACTAAATAATAAGTATATATTTTACACTTTAAACCATTATTCTGTTCACTATTCTCGTATATAAAATGAATAAATAAACAGAATATTCTGTATATACTAACCTAAACTATCAACTACCATATTATATACTGAATAATGTATAGTATTTAAATTCAATCTGTTAGCCAACCCTTAACTATCAATTTCACGAGTTATTTATTACTATTAGTCAATGATTTCAAGCGAATTGATTCACACGAAACCGATGGTGTCTTTCCATTTGCTCCCAACAAACACAACACAAACACATCACTTGTCTATCCTGAATGACATATGGAAACGACAGGTGCTCTTAAAGTGTAAGTGCGAGTCAGTGAATGAGATGAGGAGTGAGGAGAGAGAGAGAGAGAGAGAGAGAGAGAGAGCACTTTAACACAGAATACCAAACAAACAGTCAATCAATTATTCATCAAAAGCGTCTGAAATCTAGACATTTGTATCCAAATTAAGTATCAAAACACTGAGAAAATGAGCCAAAACTTTGATTTTGTTAAAACAATAAAAAAGGCTTTCACTTTACTATAGGGGACGGGGGATGAGGTTTCTGATACTCAGTGCTGTTTAAATAAAAAAAATGAGCTATGTTATTGAATAATTCTTAATAGACATTATAATTGTTCATGTTTATTTTTATATTCTATCACCAATTTGTGCCAAACATAGCGCACATCGGAATCAATCAAAACCATTGTCTAAACACTGTTTGATATACTCTTAACAAAAGTGAATTAACGCCGTATTTATCAGTTTTCGCACTGAAATAGTGATTGAGATAAGTCTTGTGCCAAAAAATCCCTATTCATAAACACAATTGACTGACTAGTGATAGGCATACCAGTGCCTCCCTTTCCTTTCCCCCTAACCCGGCACCTATACCAGTGAATCGCGATATAAGAGTGAAAAATAGCTTATTATCAGTTAAACTGATCGCAAGAATTTTGTGTCTAAAAAGTTTTTTGTGTGCCTATTGTGTGACACGTATTATGCGATTCATTGGCTAAAAATTTGGGAGTCCTTTTTGGGTATAACACACACTTCCCATCCACACCACCCCAACCCCCTTGAGGTGGGGGCAGTATTGCTTAAATTACAGTCCTTTAAAAAGTTTACTAAAACATATATATCTAAAATATTTGCAAATATTTGTGTGCGAGTTATGTATTCATTAGCATTTGTCTACAGTTAAACATAAAACCTTTTATAATCTTTGTAATTCCATGGGTAACGTACCTTGGTAATTTATTAAATTAAAATTTTTGTTAACATACTAACTTTAAATCAAGCTTGGCCTTATTTGTGTGTTATATTCAAATATCATAAGTTTATCAATATTTATTAAATTAAGAGAAAATAAATGTTATAAGCGCTATAAAATACCTATCCCTCCCGATAATTTCGTTAATTAATGGGACTGATAGCAATTTAATACTCGACTCGATGCGTTCCTATTGGGGGAGTCCTACTAGAGTAACAGTTGCTTCGCTGCTGTAATATTGTAAGACAGTCTCACATACGGAGCACTGGTATGCTATTCTGACACAACCTTTTTTGTGTGGCAATCGACGTAAATATTTGTGTTACACAACTTGTAGAGTACACAAACTTTCACAGAATTCTCGGGTTGTGAACAAATATAGTTTGTATAATACATTACTAAACGCCTATTTATATGACAAATAAGTAAGTTGATAAAAACACTACTTTTCGTACAGTTTTTTTTGTCGGAAACGACATTTCTAATGATTTTTAAATTGTGTACAAAGTTTTTGCTGATTTTATAAGCAGTGCTTTTTGTTGTTGAAAATATTCTGTAATATTCTGTACAATCTGTTAAATATTCATTGATTACAGAATTGAATTTTTTTGTGCCTTGTTTCAAATGATGTGATTAGTATTTAATTATAATAAGCTTTAACAAATATATATACTGTATATATGGTATACTTATTTTGCTTCATATTTGTCTCAAGCAAATATTCTTTACATTTTGTTGGGCATGTAATGTAATAATAATAATAATAATCGTTTTGTTTTTTACATATTATTCAATTCAATGCCATTTATATCGTATAAACAATTTTATTGAAGTCTTCAAAGTTATTAATATTAGACATAAAACTATAATAACACAAATACAATACTATTAAAACAATCATTTATCTATCATAACATCAAAGTCGTTAAACGTGTCTAACTAAGCACCGGTAACAAACTTGCTCAATTACCTTGATGAAACATATGAAAATTGAAATTGTATTGTGTCCAACTGAACTTTAAAAAAGTACTTTATTTTATGAAATGTTGTTCACACCATGCACAAATAATTAATTATAATATTATTACATAAAATTTGGCATAACTGTTACCCGCCGACTATACATCGTATATAAACACTATATACACGATGACAGTGTATTAATATGCAACCGTCACCTACACCTCCGCATCCCCATCCAGTTAGCACCATCCAGTTTGGCATGCATGCCAAAGATGATACCAGGGTCGCCTTACATTGCGATGATGAAGGTCTGACACCAAACATATATAACCGTATCATTTATATTACACATCATATTTTACAATCAGACTCTCAGTATAACTTACAGTACACTGTACTGTATGATATACATACTCCACTTAAATATACTAAAACAGTTAGTATATGCAGTGGGGCTATAGGGGAGGTGATAGGAAAAATATGTTTAAAAGTATACTGGGACAATTTGTTAGTAATATTAGTGTTCGGGTTTGTTTAAATGTAAAATATAAAATTTTAGTTACTTGATTACAATATTTAGGTTGTGTTTGGTTACATGTTTTTGTGAGAAGTCCTATTTGTTTCCTTAATATTTATTGTTTTCTCTATTTTTGAATAATTAATATTATTTCTGTAAATCTGATATTATATAATAATTTTATATTTTAGTTCACAAGTTAGTATATATTAAAACAAGATTATTTAATACGATATTTTAATTCAATTTGAAATGAGCCTATTTGTAATAAATACTTGAAACATGTTAATATTGCAACATGCAATTATAATGAATTTAATTAAGTGATAAATTCTTTAAATGTAGATTTTAATACTCTAATACTGTATCGTGAATATGCAATATCATATTAATCCCGATTAATTATATAAAAATAATGTTTCCATACGTAAGACCCTGGGTATATAGCATAATTGAATGGTGTCTATGAGTGATGGTGTAAATTTTTTTTAGTTCCGTTTGTATTTGTGTTTTGGTGCAAAACAAATGCATATTAAATATGAATTTATATGTTTGTCATAACATTAACGATACCATAAAGCGGTGAATTAAAGTCACATAACATATGAGTGAAAAAAGCGAAATAATTTATGACCCATAAAAAATCTGTTAATTAATTACCCTATCAATTAAAATTTATACATTTTTGTTATTGCTGAATAACAATTGGTTAAAATGTAAATTTATTCTGGGCTCATTTTATTTAAACTAGTTAATAATTTCCATTATTAATAAATTTATATTAATTAAAGTTTTTTTTATAAATAATTAAATGATTATAATTAAACGGCAATTAAATATATAAATATCGATATATTAGATAATATTCTATTGATTTGATTAATAGAAATAATTAATCTTAATATAATTAATTAATTAATTTTAATATTATATCATTATAAACATTAAATGAATGAAAATATTACTGTTATATAAAACGCCTAAAAAATTAAAACATTTGAAAGCACTTTTATGTTTTATGAAATTATCAATACATTTTAAATATATAATACTTTAGTCTAATATTACGGTATTGCATTTTAATTATTTTATGTAATATTATATTTTAATATTGTTTGACTTAAAATCCATTATAACTATGTTGAATTATAATAATTTTTAAAAAAGCATCAGAATAACATATTCCTAGTTGTATCATTGAGAATAAATAATTGTTCAGTACTAAATTACTTGAATTTATTGGTCTTTTTAATATCACATAAACTTACCTGTCACATTTCTGTATCAATTACAGCCACTGTTGGCGAGAGTCCCGGTTTATGCGCCTTCCTATTGACAGTAATCTCTGTGATACTAATCATTGTGACACTACCCTTCTCATTATTTCTTTGCATCAAGGTATGTATTATTCTATCACCTAGGTATTTAAAACATTTAATCATACAGCTATTTTACACGTTAAACAGATTTATATTCATATAATATATCATTTAATTGATTAATAATCCACATAATTACGATAAATTAATAGAAATTAATTATTATACTGTGCGTGTGTAATGTTAATTAATATTAAACTAATAACCTACAATGAATATAAAGCAAAATTACTTTTTATTCATTACGATAATTAGTCGTTTATAATATCACTATAATAGTAGCAAATTATTATTATAATATATTTCTTAATTATCAATTCGCAATTAATTAACATTATAATAAATTAATACCTACAATATGTCTCATTTACAATGCCATTTTGACTGATCATTATAAATAACATGATGCATTTATTTTTAATTTAATAAACAGGTAGTCCAGGAATACGAGCGAGCAGGTACAATTTTGAATCTTAAAGTACACATAACAATTTATATATCAAATTAATCTCTATTATAATAGTTATATTCCGTTTGGGTCGCCTGGTAAGGGGTGGCGCAAAAGGGCCTGGCATATTTTTCATAATACCCTGCATCGATTCGTACTGCAAGTAGGGATATATCGCTTACCAATCATTACATACAGTAAAATATTAACACATTTCTTATGCATACCAGAGTCGACTTGAGGACAGTTAGCTTCGACGTCCCGCCACAGGAGGTGTGTATTCCTAAGACTAGAATTTTTATCTAATTATCGATTTACCCGAAAATTCTTATGGTTTTAATTATAACTTATATTTTTGTTACAGATTTTATCGAAGGATTCTGTGACAGTAGCCGTTGACGCGGGTATTCATACGTTATTTATATATATTATATATATTATTATATATATTTTATATTATATATAATATACAGAATATTAGTGAACAGATTCTCAGACATAGTTTTGAAATATAAATCTAGAATTTATTGTAAAGTCTTTTATAATAATTACATGTATTATAAAATTATTATCATAAACACCACATAAAACAGTTTCATATTAATTATGCTATATTTAAATTTTACAGTGCATTTGAGAATATTGATATTTGTTGATAGATACAAATAATTATAAATATAAACGTGAATACAATGTACTTTATACCTGTATCCCTCTCCCATCCATTTCCCTAATTAGTGGTTTACTACCGGATCAGTAACGCGACGGTAGCCGTGAGTAACGTCGAGGACTACGGCCGCAGTACCCGACTATTGGCCGCCACAACCCTTCGCAACGTATTGGGAACCAGAGATTTGTCGCAAATACTGTCCGAAAGGGAGTCCATATCACATGTCATGCAGTCGTCGCTGGACGAGGCGACCGACCCCTGGGGTGTCAAAGTGGAAAGGGTCGAGATGTACGGGCGTAACATAACCTAGCTAATTTACGCTACATTTATTATAAAGCTTATCGTTTTGTTATATAGAAAGGACGTCAGACTACCGGTGCAGCTGCAGAGGGCTATGGCGGCCGAGGCCGAGGCGGCCCGGGAGGCCAGGGCTAAGGTATCAATAGAGTGCCTACTAATTTAATATTTAAATTAATACTATGGTATGCTTTATGGCACCGGTAGGTAATCGCCGCGGAGGGCGAACAGAGGGCCTCCCGTGCCCTGAAAGAGGCGGCCGACGTGATCGCCGACACACCGGCGGCACTACAGCTCCGGTACTTACAGACACTCAGCTCTATAGCGGCCGAAAAGAACTCGACGATTGTGTTTCCGGTACGCCATCTGTCTATTATGAATGCCGTTTAACATGGGCTACTCCATAGTCTTT